CGTTTACACACGTAAAAACTAATAGCCATGTCTTTCGAGCCATAGTTTGTTTAATAGTGATAGTAATAGTCAAAAGTGATGTGAGTGAAAAAAGTATGAAAAAAGATTTGATCGCTACATATTGCTATTGTTTATGTCTCAACGCCGTCTTTACATTCGCACCACACGCCAACCGGGATCAATTCTCTTGTTCGCAGAAAGAAAAAAGTTTTCCGGGATCAATTCTGCACAATAAATATAAAATTAGTTTATTCTGGGATCAATTCTGTCGAAAATATTTTTTTCTAAATCCGGGATCATTTCCACTATTTTTATCGAAATTTTAGTATACGGGATCCATTCTGTAATTTTTATGGGATCTTTTCAGCTTTTTTCCTTTTTGTCTGATGCAGCGTTAAAAACTGAGTATGAAAAACTGAGAATGATGTTAAATCGCATCTGATTCAAAAGGTCGGTTAATGGTGGGAATTCTCATCCCACCGTCGCATGGTTATGAGCCATTCATGTATTATTCCAAGTTGCGCATATATCTAAATTGCGATCGTCTGACGACACCTCAAAAACGTAAAAACTCGAAAGTTATCAAACAGACTTGAAAGACACTTCAACTCCATTTTTTGTACTGATTCCGAATCTGTAAACAGAAACAGTTCATCGTTATTAGAATAAGACAATGATCTTCTTAAAACAACGCTCTCAGATGAGACTATTTGTATCAAAGAGCAAAAACCATTCATTGTTAACTTATTTATGCTGATTAATATAGTCCTGCACTTTTCATAGGAAAACCAGTATATGTCAAAGTTCCTCTTGACGGATCATACCGCTCACAACTATTTATATAAAAACCATTACCATATCTACCTGTAACTAACAATTTGCCGTTTGCTAATACAGATGCTGTGTGCACATATCGTGCATCATTCATGCTACTAGTGTTTGACCATCCTAGAGGAACCATTTAAATGTATTAAATATCTACGTTATTTGTGTGACCTGTAAATTACTAATGTCCGAAAGATGTTAAGGAGAGGGGCGGATAAGGGTCAAAATTTTCCCTTAACGAATCGAAAAAGGAAACACATCGTCCGAATCAGCATCGATTTTTGACCAAAATTACGTATTGGATTCGCTTGAAAAGTCACTTTCATTTTTTCTGAAAAATTTCCGCCTCTATAACTATGGAATACTAAAAGGTATTTTTCTTCGAATCTTTTCGGAAGCTGCATCACTCGATCTAAGCTTTGGTGCTGATCCGGAATATCAGGTCAGAAACTTAATTATTTTGAATTGACCGAAGAAAAGGCGATTTACTGAGAGATAAGGCAGTCATGTATTAACCATTCGCACATGTTTAAAAGCACCACCGATTGGCATAACTTGCAGTGTAGTATCGAGATGATGAAATGAGACTAGAAAGCACGTGTTTCTCAGAGAGAGATTACATCACAGAACAGAAAAGCTGTCTATGTTTTTGGTTGATTGCGAGCAAGTCGTAATTAGAAATAATCGCCTTGGTGTCTTCGAGTGCCATATATTTTCGAAGTCAGAATAACGTGTAAAACAGTCAATCCGCGCGTTACAATACAAAAATCATGTGGTATACACAGTTCTGAATGCTCATCGAATGAGCTTAGTGTGAGACGGAAACAAAATACGCTTTTTTTTCAAAACGAATTTTGTTCAGTAGATCATGGGGATGCGCTCGTGTTTTGCCTTTCCCTCTATCAGATATTATCTTTTAGACAAAACTAATGGCATGTTCCGAATCAGCATGAAAAATTTGGCTCTCTATCGTTATCCTTTACCTAGAAAACGATAACGACAGTTCTCTAGGTGGAAATATCACTGAGTTATGGGCTCATTATCTGAAGGATTTTTCCGAAGCACATCGAATCGACAGAGCGTCAAATTCTGAGGAAAATCAGACGTCCTTGAGCCTTCTAGCACATTAGTAGGCTGAGATAAGGTCATTTTACTTTCGGAGATCCGGCTGACTGGAAATCCTTTAAAAGATTTTCCAATAACTCGGCCTAAAAAGATGCTGTGTCTATTTCAAGCAGAAGTATGAGGTGTGATATGTGCAGATGATTCACATTAACAGCGATTAAATATACTGTTTAGATATACATCGAGGTTTAACTTCATTGATGTCATTCATATTTAAAGAAATTTTCATGACGGCCCACTGGGAAATTTGGAAACACAGACGCATTTAGAGCGGATGCGATCTTTCATTTTTCTTAAAAATTTTATACTCGCACGCGCTTTAACCGTTTCTGTGTTTTCAAATTTTCCATTCTGTGAAACACTTGTCAAATCATCAATCAAAATGTGCAATAAGTAAAACAAGTCTAAACAGACTGTAGTAACGACAAAACAACGTGTGACAGAACGTAAGAGAGTAAAATTAAATTATTTTACTTATATAATAGACACACACGCGGGAAGAAGGGCTTTCGAAGAAGATGTTACGGCAACACAGAGCGTGTAAACGAACACGTGCAAAGAAAGGAAGCGATACTAGCTACCAGTTTACTGAATGCAATGCTGGATAGGACATTATCGACTGTTTCAAATATTTTCATACCTTACAGAAGATCTAATGTTATTTTCGTACAATTCTGTGAAATTGTGTCAGGAATAAATAGTTATAATCAGGAACGCCGCGACAGTGTGAGTAGAGAGGAAATTTTAAGCCTGCTTTTCTAAATATTTTCTTCCGAAATTCGAAAACGTTTTGCTTTCGAGGAGAAACCAACAATGAGCACCATCTGGCGTATGCTAATAATGGTAACAACATGTGGAGAATCATCATGCTTCTCATCTCTATCTGTCAGATACTTGTTAGGTCCGCCTGAGGCCTTGCTTATGGATTCCCCACTGTTTCCCAATGGTATCTGATTTTATCGGGGATTTTATCTTCATCCAAGGATTTTGCTATGCCGAAACAAGTACGCTCATTTAAATTCCTAAATTTCTTGACCCGTTGCTAACTTATGTTTATAAGAGGTGGTATGCTAGAAATCTTAGAAACCACAGTAGTTGGAATTTTTAGGACGAAATAGTCTTTATGTTATCTTGGAATCCGTAAAAATCTAGATGGATCCCTGAGGAGGTTTAAAAAGATTAGGAAGGGGGTGGAGAATAAGAAAGGGAGCCTATAGGAAGACCTGAAGTAACGTTTCCTGTGATCCTAAGGTATGCATAACATCCTCTCTACTTTGTTTTATATCTGGTATTTTTTCCACACAAGCGGTGTCATGTACCATTGATATGAAAAACTGTATTGGCGTTCTCGGCGAGCTTCATTCGTTTTTTTGCTACATTTTGGTTGCAAAGCATTTTCCTTAGGATGAAAACGCGACTTTAAGCCAAAAGGGCTATACTCTTCAGTGTGACCTCGGAATCTGGAGAATCGACAGGTAAAAAAAATTCTGATTAAGCCATTCGAAAGAGCATCAAAGACTGAGTAAGATAAGTTTAGTCTGGAAGTTAAATAGAAGAATTTGACCCATCGTTTAATCGAAAACTGATATCATTGAGGATAATTCTTTGTGTATTGTACCACCAGCGTGGTGCAAACCTGAGGACCTACTTCATTCGAAAGAGACTTCAATTCTGAACAAGAATATTATATTCTAAAGAAAATTCTAACATCGGCGCGTAGGCTAAGAAAGGGTTTCTGGAAAACCAGGACCTCAAAACCAGTTCTCTGTATTTGATCAAACACTTCTTGCAAACAACTTCATTCGGTAGAACAAACATTTCTGAACAAAATGAGAGGTCCTCGAGTTCTCCACGACCATTCTTCATCGAATTTGCAATCAATTTACTAAATGCCTTAAACACAAACTAACATCGAATGAAGTAGGTCCCCACGCTTGCACCACGCTGGTGAAATTGCATCAAAACGTATATAACGCAAGAAGTTCTGTAAAAAACTTTTTTTTGTAGTCCAGTAACTAAACAATAGTCTCCTCCTGCAGAGACAATTTTGACCAAAAAAAAGTTGCTTCCATGCTATCTCCTTTTCGTTGAAACAGACATGTTAAATTATAAGAAGACAAACTAAGCTAAAAATAACTGTTTTTATATCAAGTAAAAGTCAAATGTCCGCATGACTAACCAAATTGCTGCTGTTCTCTTCTCCTAGTGAGTCACCAAGGACATTTTGAGAGAATGTGAAATTGTCATGCTTTGATCTAATAGTACATATTGTAATCTGTCGCATCATATCGTAGAGGAGGAGCGAAATCTATTTCGTTTTTGGAAAGAAAATTCTAGAAAGTTCTCTGTATTGCTTGTTGTTAGTTGTAACTTTCAAACGTTTTTAGATATACTTGCACACATATCCCATATAAAAAGAGTACGAGAATACCATTGATAAAATGGAATAGGTCGAGTATTATTAAATTGTTTTTTGATAGAAAAAATGCGTATTCTTCCTATTGGAAGAGGAGAAGTGCTTTGAGAATCTTTCAAACGTAGGTTATAAACAGATATCGATCGGAACAGTACCACATATTCAGCAACTCTATTTAATTTTTTTTGCCACTACTTTACTTTTGATATGGACATATTTTTCTCGTAGTTCATCATCAGCATGATTACTGTCTACCTGCATTTATACTTCATATAGCGGTACTATGATGTTCAGTCAGTTATGTCTATTAATGACTCATTTGCGTCGAACAAGCTCGAAATGCTTAGAGCATAAAAATATTCGGTTGATTTTCAGTTGAATTTCTATAACCTGTCCATGTAAGAACAGAAAAATTTTTTTATCGCAGTTATTTTCTTTGCAAACAGTTGCCCTTTCATTTGAGTACATATACACATGCTCGTTTCTTCACTTGTTTCAAAGTAATAAAAAAAAACCTACTATTTATTTTTTGATAAACCATGCGTATCATTTTTTTGGTATAAACACCTAAAATTTGTGAATATGAGAGTATTGAGCTGCTACTTGTCTACCGTGTCTATTTTAGACTTTAACTATGCGAGTAACGTTTTTATTAATTGTCTGTTTATTACCATTGATATATGGTGAAAAATTTCATTTGCCAGCACTAGACAAACTTGATGAACATATTGGTAATCTTTGGTCAAAGTTTAAAACGGGTTATGGTACGTGTTCAATAATGTTTTTGAAATTATATCCAATAATTTCTTTATCATTTGGTTAGGTTTTGTTTACAATACACCTGTGGAAGAGCTTCAACGTTTTAATATTTTCAATGAAAATGTTAAAATGATCTTGCAACATAACCTTGAAGAAGATCTTGGTCTTCATACATATCGCTTAGGCATAAATCAATTTGCTGCTCTTGTAACTTCATAACTATTGTTCTAAGAGTGATAAAAACTTCTATTAATCGTAATTTATTTTAGTCAAATGAAGAATTTCGAAAAACAATGAATGGTTATCGTCGTCAAAAGAATGATCGAAATCAAGATGTACGAAGTCAACAAATCCCCATTTCACCGTATGTTGCTATACCGGTGTCTGTTGACTGGCGTGATCAAGGCATTGTTACACCAGTCAAAGATCAAGGACAATGTGGTAGTTGTTGGGCATTTAGTACGGTATGTTACTCTTTATTTTACATTCTTGTCTTAAAAATTCTTTTACTGTTTTGTACGATTTTATTAAGACTGGTTCATTGGAGGGTCAACATGCACGTTCCACTGGAAAATTAGTTAGTTTAAGTGAACAACAATTAGTCGACTGTTCAACAAATTGGGGTAATGAAGGATGTAACGGTGGATTAATGGATAATGCATTCAAATACGTTCACGATAACAAAGGTATCGATGATAATGTAACATATCCATATTTAGCACAGGTTAGAAAAATAAGAGTATACAATGTACATGAATAATTGTAACACTTTGTTTCTATTATTAAGGATGGCACTTGCAAATTTAAACGAAAAGCTGTTGCATCAACCTGTGATAGTTTTGTTGATATCCCTTCGGGTAATGAAACTGCATTGGTGCAAGCAATCGCTTTAGAAGGTCCTGTCTCAGTTGCAATAGATGCTAGTCAGTCATCATTTCAATTTTATACATCGGGTAGGTAATGAATCATGATGCAAAAAAACATAGAACAAGATCTTTTATTGAAAGAGTTTTGCATTAATAAATCTTATCTATATCAGAGAGTGAACTCTAATGTTTGCAAAAATAGCTATTAAAAGCTGTAGAGTAGCGTTATATTCTGGAACTTTGATAAAGAAAAACTTCAACTCATGTCTGCTATTTCTATCTAAATTCAATTCTTACTGATGAAATGTATTTTTCTTGTTTTTGAGGTGTTTATTCTGATCCAGAATGTTCATCGGAAGACCTTGATCATGGTGTTTTAGCAGTTGGTTATGGTACACTTAAGGATGCAACGAAAGCAAAGCAAGACTATTACATTGTTAAAAATAGGTCAAGATTCTAATGATTTTTAACATAAGTATGTTTTGATAAACGTCATTTTTCTTTCTAGCTGGTCAGAAAATTGGGGTGATAAAGGATACTTGAAAATGGCACGAAATAAAAAAAACATGTGTGGTATCGCCACAGCAGCATCCTATCCTGTAGTTACAGATAAAACTACAATTAAAGATTTGCTTACATAAATTAAATCAAAACTTTTTATATAAATATTAATTTCTTCGAGTGACAAGAACTGTATGTATTATCCAGTTGAAGACGTACTGCTACGTCTCGTATAAAACTATAATGATTATCCCATTGACCGTCTGCTAGTCAAAGGAATTGTTGCAATCCATTCTAGTTATAGACGTTTACATCGGCTATTTTGTGTCTTTCTGATTCTTAAGTAAAACTAAAAACAGTGACAAAGTCCTTTCGCTTTTTTATCAGCAACATCAATATAATTACGCCTTGAAAAGTCTAATTGAAGACACTTTTCTTTGTATTTTTCTTAAGTACACTATGTACTAAATTGCTACTGTTGTTTTTTTGTCTCTTTTCTTGTGGGTATATCCTTTTTTTTATTTTGTACAAAAAAATTCATATACATACGTGGTCACTTTTATCTATCTGTTTACATAGTTTTTATGACTTTTACGGACAAAATAGTGATATATACGGATAAATTCGTACTTGTGACACAAATTTTAACATTACTGCATTCTCATAGTTTCTTATGGAACTTCAACACAAGATCAGAAGATCGTCTACTGCAAGATATTTTTAATGCCAAAGGGTGCTGCTTTTTCACCAACACCAGTATTATTGTAGTTAATCTTTAGACGACTATGATTTCTAATTCTTCATCATCTTGTACTCGATTGTGACTGTGTTTAACGTGTAAAGTATACAACTAATTTTTCCATTTAAATTTCGATTTAGAAAGAAACTATTTATTGCGTGATTCTAAGCGGAGCCCGTAACTAAAATTTCATCAAACAACGGTATGATAGCGACAGATTGTAATGATACGACTCCATTCAGATACGATGACCTATTAAACTAACCGTTTTATTTCGACTATATCACTAGATTAAACTGAAGTATCGCACTACTTTGTTCATATTTATCGCCATATAAACTTCATGGGAATTCCAAAAGTTGAGCATTGTTGTTGTTGATACGTTGTTCTTAGGAAACATCGATAAATATGGCAATATATTTTGACAATATATTTTGGAACATTAAGAACGCATGATTGTCTAATCCCAAATCTGTGGCGATTGCTTGATTCATATAAATGTATTACAGACCGGTAGACCTTCCTTCTTTCTAATGAGACACGGATACATCAGGAATTCACTTCAGCTTGGAAGCTTCAAAAGATATTTTTTCTAGATTATCTTGTATGTAATTTCTACAGGACTTACTTTAGCAATTCCAAGTGTTTTGTTCCTGGTGTACCAGAGACCAGCTTTTGAAAAATTTACCGAGCGACGCGGAAGAAGCGTTTTCTTTAAAAACCGTTTTTCTGTGTTGTCTTATTATATCTATTGCACACAATCATTACAAAATTAAAAAAAATGTTTTTCATGGTAATTTTTTTTGCTCGAAAACCTCTGAAAGATCCTAACCAGTTTCTTTTCAAGAGCCATCTCTTAAGAACGGTTTCATGGCACATATCAGACCGATGTTTGATGAAATTTTAGTTACGGGCTCCGCTTAGAATCACGCAATAAATAGTTTCTTTCTAAATCGAAATTTAAATGGAAAAATTAGTTGTATACTTTACACGTNATCCAGATCGACGAGTATCACTTCCTCTTCCAATGAAAATGTTCCTGGACAGAAAAAAACGGATTTTGCTCCAAAACCGAAGATTTTTGAAAGACATGTGCTGACACCCAGGAACATTTGTTCTCATTTATTCCACCGGTATTAGTACAGCATCAACTCAACTGCTCTAAACTCCTCCCCGTAATAGAATACCATCCCCTGTTGGAAGGACCACTAATGACAATTTTTTCGTGAGACCTCCTCCATAATTCTTGGTCAAAAATCGACTTGAGTTCCTCACCAAAATAGAAGATCGTAGCGGTCTGTTATGAGGGTGTTTGTACTTCTTATGCTTTGAAAGGAACTCTAAAGAAGGTAGTAGAATATTATTGAGAGGGCCTATTTGCATCATTAAAACCAAAAAGGTTTATCTGAGAGATTTTATTTTTACTCAAATTTTGATCGTATTTCCGTT